GGGGGGGGGGAGGGGTGTTGTTTTTTGTTTGTGTGTTTTGTTGGGGTTTTTTCATTGTTGTTTGGCTTTTGGTTGTTTGTTGGGGTTTTTTTGTGTTGTGGGTTTTTTTTCGTTTTTTTATTTCGTTTATAAGTTCAGAAGCATCCCTGGAACAAGGAATGCCACTTCTGCCCCTTTGAAATTGATTCAGATGAACTGATGGAAAATAAGCTTTGTAAAGCCTGGGCTCTGTGACATGCAAATAGGGCTGACATGGGATGAAAATCTGTTGGAAAGAGGTGACAGATGTGCCTGTTCTACATGTACAGGCAATGCACAGTCCTTACAAGAAGTTAAATTTACTAATTCTTCCTGGATTTGTTTTTTGTAGCAGAGTGGTGGTATTTCTCTATATCTTAAATGTTGTGGCTCTCATTACCTCTGCGACAGACAGGCTCACGTATGCAGTGCAGAATGCTGCCCTACATATTTAATCTGTGTTACAGAAACCTCATTAGCTTCTCAGCTGAGTGCTCTCATGGTGCTGGAGCTACTTCTAAAATCCTTTGAGATACAGGTCCTGTTTTGGGTCTGCTCTTCCACCTTCCAAATGCATGTGGCTGGGTTCATCTGCAGAATCATCAGCTCTTGTTGACATTAAACACAAACATTAGCGCAGAGGGTATTATTCATGAGCTGACCTGCCACTGATTTCACATGTATTGTTATCTCGAGTTGGATGAGGGAAATACCCTGATGTTGCATAGTAACACATACCCTGAGCTGCTTCAGCTAGGGAAGTCAGGGTGCTGGCAGAGCTTATCGGTCTTAATTTAATGAGATAGAAGTGGTTGACTTAATGAATAATTTCTTGCTTGTTTTAAGTTTTTAAACTATTTTTCTTGCCTTAGTGATCATATTGTATATTTATGTGCATGAGAGCTACTTTCCACAGCAGATGAAGTACTCTGTGTTGTTAAGAAAACAAAATCTTTCTGCACAGTTCCACTTTTTAAAATGGAGAAATGCTCTTTCCACAGGAGGGAATTGCAAGGAGGGTAACACTTCCACAGTGGAATCAGTAGTTAGAAGGACTCATTGCCTGCTAATTGAGTGAGACCTGGACCTCGGCTTTGCTGTAACGGCCTGACTGGTCTCGTTTTCTTTTTCAGAACTGCTAAACAAAACTGACTTGCTGAGTCTCAGTGGAAAGACTCTGCATGTGACAGCAGGGGCAGCACCTGCCCTGCCCAGCTCTGCCGAGGCTCTCCTCTGCCAGTACATCAATTTGCAGCTAATGAATGCAAAGCCACAAGGTGGGTAGGACACTGCTCCTCATTTGCAGGCTGAGGGTCTCGTGACACCATCACTCAGTGATGGAGATAAGTAAACATTTTCCTTTGTAGATGGTGACTTTGTTTTTTTCCTAATTTGCTTTCTAATAAACACAATCTTTATATGTAGCTTTTCTTCCTTTTTTCATAAAGGAAAAGCAGAGCCAGTTTGAGGTAAGTGCAGCATTTAAACAGGAGCCTTTCAGTGTTTTCCTGTTTCTGACCATGAGCTCACCTGTGCTGCTTATTTTAAAAGGCTGAGTCTAAACTGACCAAAAAAGAATGAGGCACCAACTCTTTATCAAGGCACTGTAAACCACCAGTGAAACATTTCTTAGTGCTATTTAAAAAGTAAATGAGTTGTATTATTAACCTGATCTGGGGTATAGATATGTGTATGTAATTCTGTTTCAGAGCAGTTAATGTTTTAACTTCTACTCTGAAACCTCACACTGGAACAGCTGTGGTGTTAGTAACTTGCTCTTAATCTCTGTCCTGTACAAGTCCTGTCTGGACTTTCCATGTAGTATCAGTTACTGACTCTACTGGGAACCTACTTGGGCCAAGAATATGTTTTTTACTGGGATTTGATCATCAGAAGGTGCTTTGTGAGCTTCTGCAGTTCTTAGTGGTTTGTGTGTCCTGTTGAGCTGTTTGGTGTTTCCCAGTCTCTAGGTTATCCTGTTGACTCATGTAAAGAATTCTGTAAAGTTTTCTTTGTCAAGGTGTTAATAATCACTTATGCTTCTGATAATTCTATACTTCTGTAATTCATTACCTCATTTACGAATATTTGTAAGTAAGTTGGTATTGGTATTGCTCAGCACTATAAAGAGAGATGAAATGGAAGATAAAATCCTAAATTTCAATTTTCCAACATAAATGAAATAATGCTGTTCCTCACCAATAGTGATTCAGCTGTTTCTCCTGTTCAGAATGTCAGAAAGGAACAGTGGGAACTCTTCTAATGGAAAACCCTGTTGGGAAGAATGGCTTGACATACCAAGGTCTTTTACATGAAACGGCAAAAGTCTTTGGGCTCAGAAGCAGGCGCCTAAAACTGTTCCTGGATGAAGCACAAACTCAGGGTAAGCACAGACTTGTGGTTTGCTTGTCCAAGGATACCTGGAAGTTCTTGTTGAAGAGCACCTAATGCAGCCTGACATCTAGTTTAACTACTAAATACACACTATTTACACATTGGTTTCTACTTTTGCCAGGTAATTCAATATTTATTTTGTAAAATCCGTTAAGCACACATACATTTAGAAATACAAAGTTCTAGTGCACTCCCTTCTTGAAAAGGCCAAGACAAGTTCTGTTGAAGTTTCTTCTTTCAAAATGGAAAGGTCACTCAGCAATGTAAATGGTAGTTACGTGCTGCTGTGACTAAGCAGAGAGCAAGTCTCCTCCCAGAAGTGAGTGAATCTAAAGTGTGAATATTTTAAGAGCCTGTTCGTGTTTTTTCTGTTACATTCATATTGTTGCAGGTATTTTTTCTCCTTCCTCTTGGAGAAGGCGAGTGGGTGGCAAAGAGTATTGGATCTATTTTAGAGTTGTGTGAGTAGGTCAGAGTTGGTTGGGTGCAGCAGCTGCAATTCATTCAGGATACCTGGGAAGCAGGAAGCTTTATCACATAGTCACAGATCTGAAATGTTAAAGAGTCTTCCAAAACTGCAGACAGATGGCAGGCTTAGAAACAGAAATCTCTGATTCATGAGACAGATAAAACTGAAGATGTAGCCACCTGTAGTGCTAATAAGTTGAACCCAAGAAAGATTTTGGACTTCATTTGACAGAAAGAATCAGTTGGAAACTGCATGGTAAAAACCACACGGGTATTTGTGTATTCAGCTCTTCAAATAAAACAATGCAAAGGATTCCGTCTCCTGTGAATCGCAGTGGCATGATTTACAAGTGGTTTGGGAGGGATACATGGCACTTACCCTTGAGTTATCGTATGCTGGGTTACCTGTCCAGAAGCTAGCCATCATGTTTAAACTAGTTACCTGATCCTAGGAATGGATGAATTCCTCAGGAAGTGCCCCTCACCTGATGAGGGGAGGAGGAGCAGAGCTCTTGTGTAGCTGTCCACAGCTGGGGTCACTTTGCTGTCCCCTGAGCTGAGGGATCCAAGTAGGGTAGGTTGGAACCAGAGCAAGTAAGGGGTGGGTGCTTTTGTTGTGGGTTTTAATTGGGTTTTATTTCATGTGACCTGAACTCTGTTTATTCAAAAGCCATTTTCTAAGTAAAGTGGATCTTAAATGTTGATGAGACTTTCCAGTGATAGCTTGAGCTAATACTAAAAATAATGTGCTAAACGGTGTTCGCAAACAGAGATCTGGAGACCATAGTGTTCAGAAACAGCATGAGGGTAAGAACCAAGTACATCAATGTCCTGGGTTCAGCTTAAACCATGATAATCAACCACACTTTATCTGCACACCCAAAAAATGGATTTATGTGTGAAACCTTGTGGACTTAAAATGTAGCCATTCAGGAGCAACTGATGCTATACACATTCTTGTTTGGTTTCTGTCGTTCTTACAGGGCAAAAGGGGTTCACAGCAACATGTGGGTTGGTGAAGGTACAAAAATAACTAGTGTGGGAAACTTCTGAGTTTTGAAAGAGGGAAGAAACTGACAAAGCAGGAAAATGTGTAGCGCTCAGTTTAAGGATTTTTAAAATGCCTTTTACCTAAAAGGGAAATCAGTTGCATCACTAGAACATATTTGTAGTGTGAATTCTTCAAAACTATTTAAACTTTAATTAAAGTGTATAAAGTGAAAGTTCACAATGATGTGAAAGATCTGACTGGTCTGTAGTTCCCAGGATCTTCGATTTTCCCCTTCTTGAAGATCGGGGATGTATTTCCCTTTTTCCAGTCATCAGGAACTTCACCTGACTGCCATGATTTTCAGATATGATGGAGTGGCTCAGCAACTTCATTTGCCAGCTCCTTCAGGACCCGCGGATGGATTTCATCAGGTCCCTTTGACTTGTGCACATTCAGATTCTTAAGATGGCAGTGGGCCTGAGGTCTTCATTCTCACAGTCCCTGCATCTGCCTTCCAAGACTTGGGTGGTGGGGTCAGAGCATTTGCCAGTGAAGACTGAGGCAAAGAAGTCATTAAGAACCTCAGCCTTCTCCAAATCCAGGGTGCCTTACACAGCTTTATTTTTTACCAAGCTCCCCCAACACACACACCATAATTTCTTCTTTCTTTCATGAAACAAAAGGGCTGTTTTGCACATCCAAGCTCA